TTAATTTAATTCAATTCTATTTTATTTTGTATAGCGCCAATTCATAACAGAAGTTATCTCAGGACACTTTTCAAATAGAGCAGGTCTAGACTGAACTCTTTATAACATTAACTGATATTTTGTGGAACTTTTTATACAATCCTCTCTTATTTTTATTATTTAACAAGTACTAGGCTTTTTTTATTCAGTGTTTCCTTCTCTTTGTTATAAGGCAGGACGAGGCTATTGTGAAGGGTGAAGGGTCAGTGTTGAGCCAATGTGGAAGGTTCAGTTAATTTTATTTGCACAAAAAAAGTTCTGAGATATTTAAAGAGGGAATATTTGTAAAAAATGTTGTGGTTGCACCCATTTCTTTAGTATAATGTGGAATATTTTTGATGTATGTTTGATTTTAAAATAATCGAAATGTGTTCAGATTAGATCATTTGTTTTGTAATCTAATGGATTACATTACTAATTACAAAAAATAGTACCTATATTCAGTAATGGATTACATTTCAACACCAGCCGTGACAATCTGTCTATTTTTATTTTTTATTTTTTGGGGGCTTTTTATTGCCTTTACTTGATAGTGACAGCTGCAGATAGACAGGAAAAGGGGGCAGTAAGAGGGGATGACATGCAGCAGAGGGTCGCAGGTCAGATTCGAACCCTGGGCCACTGCAGCAAGGACTCAGCCTTGGTACATGGGATTCCAGCTCTACCAACAGAGCTAACCAATCTGTCTATTTTTAAACAAAAGGGAAGTGACACAGTGAAGGGCAGCTGTCAACAATGACAGTCAGTTGCAGTTCATTTTTACTTTAAGCCATATCACACAGTGGAATATCATAGTGATAGTGTGGCAAGTGTTGGTCAATGCTGGCAGATGTCTTGATAAATAACTGAATGATGTGTGTTTGTGGCTTGTTACCCCGCACTTTAACCCGGTTTCCATATTTTACCTACATAGAGGAGTAAATCTACACCACAACATAAGTAAACATTTGATGTGTAGTTTTAGTTTAAAATGCTACACTAGGTGTGTTTTGTCAGTATCCAGGGTTGTGGGTGTGTGTATGCACTAAGTTGTAAAATGGGTTTCTACACAGGTGTTGGGATAACGCAGTCATATGTGTAGGAGTATCGTTCCAGGCACTAGCTCCTTTAAATCTCATTCTCAATGACATCACTGGAGTTTCCCTCCAACTGCTTTTTAAAAGAGTGTCACTGACTGTCAGTCAACAAACCAGAGCGGCACCAGAAGCAGACAGAAGTCTTGACTTGAAGAGATAAAAATAACTAATTCAAAACAATGGAGGGTGAATGCAAGGTACAGCTGGACGTCGCTGCCGACACAGAAGCCAGGACAACACAGAGTGTCAAACCCAACTCAAAGCTAACCACTGCCCTGCTGGTGTTCACACTCTGCCTCGCTGCTACTGCTGCTGCTGTTCTCGTCTTGAACAGGCACGCCAAGGTGGGGGACATATCTTAGATTAGTCTCTGAATTATTTAAGGGCCCGATGTCTCTCACAGCGAGTGGCCTAGCTCACCTGAACCCAGCCATTCCGTAACCTTCTCTTTATTCTCCTTTTCTTGAAACAGGGCCCAGGACAAGATAAAGACAATTTCAGTCACACACTGAGGCAAATTTCACATGTAAGAGCAGCCATTCATCTACAAGGTAAGGAATATTCAGCATCAAAGAATACTTGGGGCTGTTTGTTTGAAACATATAATAAGCACAATGTGAGAAAATACCGGCTGCTACTGCTTATGTTTGGTTTTCTTAGCCAGGTGGTTCTGAGACCAAGCTTTTTGAGCTCCATGTTCTTGGGTGTCTTATTATTTGGGTTCTTATGAACCTTCTATAGCTTCTTGAGGATGTTCATGCGGTTCTTAAAGAAATTCTAGGGACTGTTCTGAATGTTTAGGACAAATTAAGGCAATCCTAGTCCCTTACGTGGGTACTATGAAGCAGTCCTAGGTAAATCTAAGGATGTGGTATGGCTCGACAGCAACATAAAAAATGGTCTTATTTCAGTGTAATGGAAATCATAAATGTATTACCAAGCCACTTTTAAGATAACTTTGAATTTCTGATGAATAGTAACATTCCTTGGAATCCTCCCTGTCCTTGTTGAAAAATGTTTCAAACCTTTGCCTAGTCATATGAAGTCATATTTGACTCTATCAGAAATTTGTAATCATCTCCATTACCATCTCTTTGTGCTCTTCAACAGGAGAATACAACCCTGACATGAGGACCTCAGTGGAATGGAAGAATCAGGTGGACCAGTCCCACTCTCAAGGAGGGCTGGTACTTGACAACAACGAAATAGTGATTCCTCAAAATGGCCTCTACTTCGTTTACAGCCAAGCATCTTTCCGGGTCAGCTGCACCACCGACGCTGATGACGCCACCTCAAGGCCCATGGTCCATCTGAGCCACACTGTGAAGCGTTGGTCCCGCTCATATGGTAATGATGACGAAAGGAAGACCTACCAGACCATCCTGCACTCTGTCCGCACTGCCTGCCAAAAGACAGCCAGCAGTGATCCAGATCAGGAGGGGAGCTGGTTCTCTGCTGTGTATATGGGGGCTGTGTTCAACCTGAGCAGAGGGGACAGACTGAAGACAGTGATGGAGGAGAAGATGCTGCCATCACTGGAGGACGAGCCAGGGAAGACTTTCTTTGGTGTGTTTGCCTTGTGAGATGGGTTAGGGTTATGGTTAAGGGCAACAGTTGAAGATATGAATGAATGTACAAGAAGAAAAGCAGGTTACATGGTGGCTCCACTGTGAAGACTGCAGCCCGCCTCCCCCACCTGAACTCACACACACTGTCGAATGTTAGGTGCCCACAGAGGGTTGACACTGCACTGAACAGTCAATGCAACGTTTAATTTAGACTTTACAAACTGACACCCAAACTTTATATGGCTGCAGTAGCAGTAGTAAAGTCGTTTAAAGTTTACTGTAGTTATGTTAACTACAGCAGAGAACGAAAGCTATAAAGCAATGTATTACCATAGATAAGACTATGGTTCTTTAATGTTATGTACTATGTACTGCCATCTTAATGTCCGTACCTTTTGCTGTACTGCGATGCTAAATCTCTACTGTCTTTGACATTTGTACGAATAATATTGCTACATATTTATTGTGTCACTACAGGCAGACAGAAGTGGATCTTAGAGAATGTATTTATTTAACATAACATAATCATATTTATTTTATTTATTGAATTATTTATTTGTATGTGTACGTTTCCATGTGTTTTTTTCTAATGAAAGCCATAAATATTGGATTTATGCATAATTTATGAAATTATTTATTGATTCTTTGATCAACTGTTTGTCAATGTAATTTTTTAATTGATTTTAGTGCCTTTGGCACTGTAAAACTGTTTGAATAAAAAATCCATTTGAAAAGATTCTGTCTACGGGAGCATGTGGAATGAAAGAATGTAAAAACAACAAAAAATAACAACACAAGTTATACTTTATTAATCCCAGAGGGGAAATTGTTATTTTCACTCTTTTTACACACACACACACACACACACACACACACGTTGGTGGGGAGGAAGTTGCAGCGCTGTGGTTAACTTGTCAGCCACATGTCACATAGATGTATGGCCTCTTACTGTGTACTGTGAAAAAGAATGTGACATGCTTCCTTATAACATATAAAACATGAACTGCACTATCAGTTTGAACATCACTTCACCCCAGTTAACCCCAGTGGTATCATGCCAAGCAGATAGTCTGAACTATGGAAATGCATAGTTAGATGATGTTAGGAAATAAACACATATTACAGCTAATGTGTAAAAGTCCAAGCTTACTTGTAATGCTGTATTAAGGATAACAAATGACCGAACAATAACAGTTTCTGGAAGAAGTTTGGGTCACTGCTGTAGAGAAAAATTGATACATCACTAGAATTTAATTTCGGCAAATGTGGTGAATCTGGTCATTGTCATAGCTTTAAATTAAGTCAAGGTGGAATTGGCTTAATGAAATGCTCCTAATGAGTTTATGGTCTAGTTTCAGTCTTCTTCCATACAGCATGATGTTCATTTAGTAAATTATGGTCCCATTTAGACTAAAATAGACCATAAAGCCAGGGTAATCGCTTTAGGGCCGTGGCTACCTTAACGATTGACAGGTCATTCTCAGTGAATCTGTCAGCACAGCGTACCAAACTCAGATCAAACTGTCAAACTGAACAACAGAAACATATTTTAGTGTACTGTTTAGTTGTAATACGAGATTGTGTGTGACCAGGCGAGCTGCCATTGTTTCCTGTTACGGATGAGTCAAAACTGTGCAGCAAATAAGAGCAGATCAACTGCAGTGCATCACCTAGTATGTGTATTTGACCACCTGGGACTTAACAACACTGTCAGGATATAGTGATAGTTTCAGCAATTATGACAAAACGTTATTTTTCTAAAAATTACCTACTGCAGCTTTAAAGGTCCACTATGTAACATTTAGGAGGATCTATTGGCAAGAATTCAATTATATCAGTGTATATCAGTATCACCAGAAATTAAGAAACGTTATATTGTTACCTGAGAATGATCCGTTTTTACAGATGCCCTCCTCTCTACAGATAAAGTTGCTCTCCATAGAGTCTGACATGTTGAACTGTCATGTTTCTACAGTAGCCCAGAAGGGACAAACCAAACACTGCCGTTGTAACATTTTTGCAGCCACTGTAGTTTTTCCTACACACTTTACAGCCTGTTCTCATTCCCATGTCATCAAATGCAGATACGACTAGTGTTCAGTTAGTTGCAATCAACTTCATTAAATGGCACTAAATCCTACACACTGGTCCTTGAGTGCATGAAGCTAATTTGCATCTGCAGTTCCTGGTAAGTTGATGGCATATTGGCATAGTCAGTGGCATTTATGAGCAGTGACAGGATAGGAATAGGAATTAAAAATGTCCCTGGACATTTTGACTCAAACTGGCCCACCGAACAGTCTACAGTTGTGGTTATTTTTGAATATTTTAATGCTAAGTACTAAAATGAAAATAATAATAACTATTCATCCAAAGTTGACTGTAGCACGTCCATGTTTTTTTAAGGTCCTGCCCCATCCTGTAATTGGTTGGTTCACAAAAATTACGTTTCTTGACCCACCCTCCCTTTCCCTTCCCTTTATCCATTCACCTCACCCCTACCCTATACACAAACATGCCTGAGATTGAACCCCCACACTGAGTCTCCCTCTGCCCAGCCTTCAGCACGTCCTTCCAGACCAACCTAACAGATTAAATCTTCTTCCAACCTCTCATCAATTCATCTATCCTTAACATCAACTCCACTCCACTAAATATTGTTGTGGCATGGTCTTTGCTAGTCAAAGTGACATCAATAAGCATTTTATTTTATTGCTTTTTATTATTTCACTTTATGAAAGGTTGGAAAAGTCACCATATGTAACATAACATATAATATAAATCCAATCTTTGCTTATCCCAGAATTGTCTTGCAGCTTCAGCTGCAAAACCTCAAATAGCAGCTGATCTTTATTGAGGATCTAATCACTGAGCTAACAGTGCATCTCTCTCCCTCTTGGGCGCCTGTGGCTCAGAGGAAGAGTGGGTCGTCCACTAATCAAAAGGTTGTTGGTTTAATCCCTGGCTCTTGCCGCCACATGTCAAAGTATCGTTGAGTAAAGACTACTCGGAACCGCCGAATTGCTCACTGATGCTGTGGCAGTCGGTTGTGACTGAAATATGTTGAAGTGCGTTAGTTCTTGTTTCAATGGGCTTTCGCCCACTCGCTGTGTGAATGTGGCATGTAGTGTAAAGGTGCTTTGAGTGGTCGGAAGACTAGTAAAGGTGCTATAGTGTAGCAGTCCATTTACCATTAACCATCCCTCTTATTTTTATATAGGGCTGCTCAAGCAGCTCACAGAGCAAATTACCCATTCTGAGTGGCCCATAGCTGGGCCTTCCGGCATTTGCCCAATTTCCAAATGGTAAATCCACCACCAGGGTTCGAGTTATGTGGGCGCTGAGCTCCCATAAGAAGGTGTCTGATAATGCATTTTTTAATGTAATTATTTCTGTTAATGTTATGTTACATTATATACTACTGTCTTAGATTCTGTACTGACTGCTTGCTTATATTGGATTTCCTCATAAAACGATGCATTTCACCATCACACTTTATGGTGGAAGCTTGCTCAGTCATACGTCTTACTCATCACATATGTACTCTACCAAGTTTGTCCAAATTTGGACTTCCTGGCTACAGTAGCTAAAAATGGTGTTGAGTAAACCATTGAAACATGTTCATCTAAAGTCTATTTTGAATGTATAACATTGTTTTCTGATGAAGCCCTCCTTTGAGGTTGATTAAGTGGGTGGTTATAAAAAAAATTATCAATGACAGTTTCAACTTCCACAACAAATTAAAATCAAAAAATGAATTCTGGTGATTTCCCACATGATGCCCCTGGCAGTGGAGGGGATTGGCATTATTTCCACGCACTCCTGTGATATCATTATTAGTGACAGTGGATAATTATAGCCTTGGTATTGCATAAGATACTATGACTTGCTTTTGCTAGCTCTGTACTATTCATTCAGTGTGGTGAGAAAGTTTCCAGTGGAGTAACAGTTCCTCAACAGCTACACAGAGAGGAAGGAGAAGGAGGGGAACTCCCTGGTAATCTGGTAATCCCCCTTCTTCCTCCTCCAGCAGCCTACATAGCAGCCTACAGACACAAGCAGTGGAAAGTATTGATCTTAGGGTGGGAATATTCTGGGTTTTTAGTTTCTTGTCTCCATTTTCTCTTTTAATTATCAATTTAGTTTTTCCAACTACATACAAAATGTTGTGTTTATCGAAAACTCCAAAAAGGATGTCCAAGTCCAAGTGCTCATCTCCTTTGCAACACCCAGCTCTGCACATTCTATGTGTGTGTAGGAAGAAGAAATTGGTGTTTCATTTGTTGTGCTAAAAAAAACACGAGAATAAACTTTAAAAAGAAATGCTAAATGGACCTGTACTTGTATAGCGCCTTTCTAGTCTTCCGACCACTCAAAGCACTTTTACACTACGTGCTACATTC